GTCGCAGTTAATGCGGAAATGTTGTTTAATTTGATTAAAAAGCCATCAATTTTACGGGCAAACACGCGGCGCCTAGCTGCCGCCGAAAATCCGTTTTCGAAAATAACGCGAACAGCAAACGAAAAATGTTGGATTTGATTTAAGATTTTGTTGTGGAACGATTTATTGCGAAATGCTCGCGTTATTTTCGTCCGACTATCATACGTATTGCCGGACCGCGTAAGCGTAAACGAAACTTGTGGAAATATTGATCTGTATTTTGAATTGTTAATTTCGATTTATCGCAATTAAATAAAAACTATTAAGAAGCAGAAAAAGATTTTTTGGTCTATTCGAAGTACCTGGTGGTCGTAATAGGTATGTTTTAACAGGAGTGCGGGAAGCGTCACTTTACCACGTCAGTGTCGTTTCCCATGAATCCGAGCCACTTCGGATATTTCCGGGATTTTACCGCACTCGTTTATTAAAAACTCGCTCCGCTCGAGTCAAATAAACTCGTGAGTCAAATGCCGTTTACCGCACTTGAATTGAATTGAATGTCGTGTAAACAACAAAACTAACCAAAACTAATGAAACCATTATTTCATTATGCAATTTTTTTTCAATTCCACCAATCCTATGTATTAAAAAAAAAATATGTCGTATTACGCGAATTCTGTAAGAATATTGGGGAAACTGTGGGAGCACCAAAATCACAAACGAAGCATATTAAGGAAACATAATTATAACATTTCTAAAGTAAATATAGAGCAATAATTGCATTCCGGGGATGCAGAAAGAAGCCAACATTTCTCGATTCTCCAAAAAACTCAATATGACCCAAAGTTGGACACCAGGGTTATATGTTTCGATTGAGCAAGTTGTATTGGTAGTTATAATTTAAAGGCAGATCTATATCTAGTAATTTTTAATCAAGTATTACCGGGCTTATTAAATAAATAAATAAATTTTCTCAAAATTTATTTTCAGCAGGACGGCATATTTGCCTGCACTGCTGGATTGGTACAAATGGATTTCTAGGTCGCCGTATCTCTCAATATTTGATTGTTTCGTTTGTCCTTATTTAAAAAAGAAAATTTACTATGCTATGAAGCAGTTACAAAACTGATGTTTAATGAAATTAATTATGATGAATACTGTAACAAAAATTCAATAAGTTTATCAGGTTCAGAAAAAAAAATTAAGAAGTGCATAGAGTGATACATCATTTTAATGAGGTACCAACAAATATGCTGTATTCCATTAAAAAAATACTATATTTAGGCTATATCTCGACGCGGTCTGTTTACAAAATTTGTTGACTCCACCACTGGATTCTACGTATATTCTGTTTTATCTTTTTCCTATCTTAAAGCATGTCCAAAATAGGATACCGAAAAGCGCAAAATTTCTGTTTCACCCTGTGTCTCAGGTGGCATAATTCTGCTTGCAGTATTCAAAGTTTCACGAAAAACTGATAAAGGGTCGCAAAAACCGCAAAGTTTTGTCCATGCACCATCCGAGAAACTTGTGATTATAAAGTATTTGGGACACAGTGTACATATGTGCATGTCTGTTTCATCGACGCCCATGGAGATACGGCCTTTGTACGTACCTTTGAGATATCTATGATATCTTGTGAAGTACAAAAAACGATTTAATAAAAGGTAATAAAAGGACCTTGCCATTCAGATTTGTTAGAGAAAAATGAAACACAATAATTACATAATTACAAATAATTTTCCTGTTTTCCATGTCGAATTTTAATTTTCGATGTAATTCGGCACTAATTCCATAATCTATAAACAATGCTCTTACTGATGGAGCGAACAGTAAAGTCAACGGTTAATATTATTTCCGAGCAAACAAATAACAACCCCGTCGTGTTGGTAATTCAAAATCTGTTATTGTTGCATTTCCAATTGTATGTCAACAGCAGGTCTAAATTTTGCATATTTGTATGGTATCGGATACACACATGAAACGTGTCACTTGCGTATTGAGTTGGTTAGTGAGTTTATTTGCAAGCGCTACTATTAAAAAATCTATGGAGCACTTAAAAATCTTCCAGATATTGAAATCCCCGATAGTATTTATAAAAGTTGTGAGTTGTATTCCCCCATTGAGGATTTTTTTATATTATAAATGTTTTGTGCCAAACACTAAGAAAGGTAATATCCATTCACATCAAGACCAAAAGGTGATTTTTTCACGACCTCAAATACTCATTTTTCCTTTAAAATTTTATGGATTTATCTTGCACCAACTAGAAAAACATTTAGATGTTTACCAACAAGAAACAAAAATTTGGTCAAGTTTCATTAAAGGAAAACGAATAATAGAAAATATTTGATACTTAAAGATCCCTTCAAATCAAATTCAGGAAGCTGGACTTAAGACGGCGCTTTACATAGTTTTGAATAGTTTACACAAACTTAAAGAAAATTGAGATTATTTACAACTTTAATTAGTGCAAAATGGGCAGACTCTGAGGTCCTGACTTAACCCCTATGGATATTGTTTTATAGGAGTAGATATTTAACATCGAACGTTTATATAGAATTGAGTAATATGATATGTTCATATTGTGCAAAATATAAATACTTAATATAATATACAGTATCGCCACTAAAGTCCCTCATCATATCACCGTAGTGTAGTCCATCTACGTACGTTGATTCCAATTTTTCTAAATTGGGATGTGCTGCATTTCCAATAAAAATATTCAAAATTTTGAAAAATAATTTAATTTTTTAAATTCTTAAATGCAAAAACTTAAAAGCTTTGCTAAATTATTTACTTATTATTTTTTATGGACAAATCATCCCTATTATCAAAATTTTCCAAAACTCATTAATAAACAATGTATAATATAATATCAGTCGAGATAGCAAACTAATTGATTTTTGACGTCAGATTCACGCCATCCAATAAAAATACTATTTTGTAAAATACAGAAATTACTTACACCGATAAATTACCGATAAATTACCGATACCGATCTACATTTTTAACTCAATCAATCACAAACCATTTATATGGGATAAAAAGGTTAGAATAATTTTATGATACTTTCAAACAAATATCGAAATTACCAGTGAAAAACTAATTTAATCTATAAATATAAGCAAAATCCGTTGCGGTGTCTATCGTTGGTGAGATTAGGGCAATAATTATAGAATCAATATGTAAAAAATAAAATTAAGTTTGACTTCCATTATCATTAAAATAGCTGAGTACTTAACATACTTTCAATTTTTGAAATTACTAGCGTTTTCATGTATGAAATAATTTCTGAGTAAATTTCAAAACTTCAAATTAAAAATGTTATTCTGTTAAGTGGACTATGCGTTATAATCAATTTGATATTAAATTGCAAATTGCAAATATTGAATAAAAAAAATTAAATTGACTTTTTAAATTCTAAAAAATTGTTCTCGGACGAGAGGTTATTGTTTAATGTATTCAATCGATACTTGGTGAAAATCCATAATCGTTTCTTTGATAACAAAACTTTACTAGGACTTTCACATATATTGGGGCAATTAATTTTCCTGAAGTTTTAAACATAATTTTTAGATTATGTCGAAGTTGGATACTTTCTCACTGGAGTTTCCGAAATATGTTCAAATATTCTATTTAGAAGGAGATTCTTTGATCAATAGAAAAACAATTTTTAAACAATTATGGTATTGTTTTTTCTTTTGAAATTTTGTCTATGATGTTTTTCATTAAATCTGTATAATGTAATTTATGAATTCGTACTTTTTCCATTTTCCATAAACCTTCCTGTATTGATACTACCACTCTAAATTTTGCATGCCATTCATATTCACATAAATTGGCTGTTTTTCAAGTATAATTCACAGATTAATGTATATAGCATGAAATTCTACACATTTAATAACTGAGTTGAATCAAACTCGAGATAGTCATACAAATAGCTTCTAATAACGATTATTTGTAAACATCACAGACAAAATGCTATAGAATAAATAATAACATAACTGATTAAAATTGATTTTTCAGTAGTCAACGAAACTCCTACTGCATCTTTCGCAAACTCCAATGAAAAATGTCTAAGTTCTTAAGTAAACATAATGTTAAACTAACAGTTCTTTGGGAAAATTAATTAAAAAAATCGAAAAATCCGGTGTATATTGGACACTTTTTTCATTGGAGTTGGAGTTGATGTGTTAAGATATTATATCTAGATGGAGGTTTTTTTGACTATTGAAAAAATAGTTTTTTAAACAATAATTGTATCGTTTTTTGTTTAGTATTATGATGTTAGGTAAATAAATAATAAATAAATAAATAGAAGCTATTAGTTAGATGAGTTTTAAGTCAGCAGTAAAATCTGTATATTCTGATGAAATGGATATTAATATCTGATTTAATACTTTCTCCGTTTGATCCTACTATGCCAAACTCCTCTTGCCATTCATATTCACAGAAATTAGCACACTTTTTAAAGTATGATACATAGAATAATTCACATAACATTAAATTCTACAGATTGTAGAACTGAAATCAAACTCAAAATCAGCTAACAAAAGTCCAACAAATAAAATCAAAAGATCAAGGGTATATAAACCTTCTTGTTATGATTTTCCCAAAACGTATTTAGGCCAAACTGAAACATATCTTAGTAAACGAATAAAAGATCATCATAATTTATTCGCCAATGAAAAGCTTAATTTCAAATATGCATATCATTTATTTTCAAATGTTACATTTTTACAAGTAAAATGGCATATTAAATTTACTTGAAGCTTGGGTAACAAATTAAAAAAATCAAATATTCTTTTAAATAATCAATTAGTTCTTAATAATTCACCCCCATTAAACTTATTTTTATCAAGACTTAATTATTATTGATTTTATATATACATACGTACATGAATTTTCTTAGTTTGAAAAATTTACAGTGTTAGCGAACATGTGAAAGCTCTATTTTATTTTCCAAAAAAGGTATTAAGCCATTGTTGGAGATATAATAGCAAGAACAAAAGTCCTACCTTAAAAAAATTGCACCATAAAACCGGGCAATGCGTTCGTAAGTCTAGGGAACTTCTGGAAAACTTTAAATCCGAATTTGCAACAATCCTTTCAAACTTGAAACTTTGTAGAACTACGATGCCAAAGAACTTTTCGAACAGGTGGTTTTCAACGACCCTTTTCCGCGCTGTCGCCGACGCCGTGAGTTTAGCAGGACTGCGAAACGTACCGAGGCAGGATTCACCACGTTTTCATTCATGAAAAGTCCGCGCGCCTGCGGCCACTATTTTCGTTCGTCGGCAAAGAGACTCCGAAATCCCGATTTCGTTTTAAAATCCCTCGGGATACTCCGCACGAGCCCTTTAATTCCCCCGTATTTGTATCGAAACGTTTTCCGTTTTTGTTTTACTTTTCGTGCGTTAATTACGGCTCCATATTTGATTTTAAATTTGATAAATTTATTTCGTTCGATTGTAAACTGTAAATACAGGGAACTGTTAAAATATCGAACAAATTCAATTTAAAAGCAGGTATTGGATTTTAAGATAAGTTGCCGCACATGATCATCAAGTACAAAAAGTAAATGTCGATACGAAGTTCTTTTTTTTTTTAATGAAACGCCATTTTTTAAATCCATTTTTGAATGCTGCGATAAGTTTTGATGCACAATTGAAGTAGCATATACTTTTCTCTGACTTTTTATGTGCAAATGAATTAAAACAGATACTTAATTTTGGTAAGGTAGTACTAGTAAAGTTTCTAAATTATTACAAATATATTTCTATCAGTACCGAAATTAGATGTTGCTTATTAGCGTAGCTTCAAATAATGATGTTACCCAAAGACCAGCGTTGCGTGTATTAAAAGAAGAAAACTATCATCCGTACAAGATTCCATTAATACAGGAGCTGGTCCCGACCGCAGACCTTAACCCTTAATAATTTGCACCTTAAGTACATTTTTCCATCGTTGGATACTGCTTAGTGATAAATGTATTAACGGTAGGATAAATAAACAAAATTGTAGTCATTGGAGTACAAATAATCCTCATTGGATGAGCGAAAATCATAACATCATAAAAAATCATGGGCAGGAATTTTGATTAATGAAATTGTTGGATTTTATTTCTTTTATCAAAATGCTAATGGAGCCCGTGGATATTTAGATAGGTTATTTCCCACACAGCGGATTGGGAGAAGGCGATCAAAACATTGGCCAGCAAGATCACCCGATTTAAAATCAAAAGTGTATAAGGGAAAACCACAAAATTTAGATGATTTGAAATGTAGAATTAGAGACGAAATAAGACGCATTGTGATATAGGGCATACTACATGAATTATGTGTGAAATTTGACGCAGAATTGGAAAATAGATATAAAAATGGCGTTCCCTTAAAAAAGGAGCTTTTTAGATTATTTACTTAAGAAGTTGGACACTTTTTCTTTGAAGTTGATATGTTAAGGTATTATATCTAGATGGAGGTTTTTTGGCTATTGCAAAAATAGTTTTTCAAACAATAATGGTATCGTTTTTTTCTTTAGTATTTTGTCTATGATGTTCGGTAAATAAATAAAAAATTAATAAATGGAAGTTATGTGTTAGATGATATTTAATTCAGTTGTAAAATGTGTATATTTTAATGAAATGGAATTTAATATCTGGATTAAGACTTTCTCCATTTGGTCCTACTATTCCAAATTCTTCTAACCAAAACTTTTCAAAATATGATTCATAGAATAATCTATATAACATTAAATTCTACAGATTGTACAACTGAGAAAAAACAAAATCAAAATCAGTAAACAAATAGCGTTTAATACCGGTTATTTGCATTGTTAGCAATACCATAAATGTTTAAAAATAATGTATCCAATGGTCAATATATGTTTTTTAAATAAACGTAATCTAAAAATAACTTTTAAAATTAACAATTCTTTGGGAAAATTAATTAAAAATAACAACAGTACGACAAATAAAATCAAACATCAAGGGTATATCTTTCTTGTAATGATTGCCCCAAAACGAATATAAGCCAAACAGGAAGATGTTTTAAGAAACGAACTAAAGCAATTCCTTCAATCATAGCTTCCATTAAGAAAATTGCGCATCTAAATGAAACCTAGAGAATTGAAATTTTAATTTAATTATAAGATCTACAGTGAGTAAAACTGAGAGAAAATGTATAGACACAGGGCATGTCAAAGATCGTCTACTTCTACAAAAACTAATGACAATACAGGATTAATCATTTTATTAGAAACTGAGGATAATCCCTATCTTGTATCTTCGTATGCGTATGTAGTGTTGGTAATTAAGCAACCAAGATAGTCAAAATTTTGTATCACTATATAGCCTGCAACTTATGATGTCTGTGGAGAATTTTTGTCTTACCTATCAACAATCATTATTTTCGTTTTCGATTTATTTATTTTTAAATCATATTTTTTGATGACAGTCTGCTCATAATTTCTGTTATGGCTGCCATCGGCGTAGCGCAGGTTGTTAATCCGCTTTTCACGAACAGATATGCCGTCTTTCCACTCTCCTAGAGCCTGACGTATTCGCTATAAGTGTTAGATAAGATTGGTGAAAGAATGCAGACCTGTCTAAACCCTGAAGGTTGTGGACCAGTTGAACCAGGTGTTTTGCGGTACCTCCAGTTTACTTTAGCAAACGTTTTTCGATAGTCTACAAAGCAGAGATGCATTGGAATATAAAATTCTCTAGCCTTTTCAATAACTTGCCTGGTATTTGATATTTGTTGCCTAGTTCGTTTTCCTGGTACAAAACCTGCTTGCTAATCTGTGGTAGAAGATATGATTTAAGACGGTTTTGTATGAGATGCAGCAAGACCTTACTGGTGTGAGATATAAGATATAGTTGTTGCACTCCAAGGGAGAACTTTTTTTGAATGTTGGAATAAACAGCAGCTCTCCCCAGTCGGCTAGTCACTGTTTTGTTTTTTCCCTTGTCCAAAGACTTTAAGACCTCTGCCGTTATTTGTTCCGCACCTGGTGATTTTTTGTTTCGGAGAAGTTTTATATCGGGCTCCTGGGGGGTATTAATATATTCTGGTAGTAGTTCGAAAGTAATTTTGTAAAGTTTTTCATAATACTACGAAACTTCTGCTACACCATTGACGTAATTTGTGGTTTCTCCTTCCTCGTTTGTTATTGCTTGGTGCGTAGTTTGTATTCTTTGGAGAGATATCTTATTTTATTAAACAATTCCCGAGACTGATTGTTTGTTGAAGTGTTCCTCTAGTTCCCTATAGAACCCTACGATGTGTTGTTTTTGGGGATTTTTATTTTGACGATTCCACGGCTTTATTTATCCATTCTTTAGTGCTCGTTATTTTATTTTTAGTTATCGCCGAACCTTTTAAAAAGTTCTACATCGATGTTTGGTCTAAGATTGATATTAACACAACAAACGTCCTCACAAAATAGATGTTATTGGATTTTATTTCTTCGATCAAAATCCTACTGGAGCCCGACATTTCTTCAAAGTAACTTAATTTGTACTCTCGCAATTTCTTTCCTAAATTCAAATCAGCCAGATAGAAACATTTTATTGCAACAGGATGGTGCTCCACCCCATTTTACTAGACACATGCTGACAAGATCACCAGGTGTTACTCCATTGGATTTTTTTCTTCTGGGGATATTTCAAAGCAAAAAGTTCAAGGAAAACCCCGTAAAATTTAGACGTTTTGAAATTTAGAATTAGATAGGAAATAGGGCAAATTTATGCTATAGGCTGTGGGGTATGGGGTATAAATTATGTGTTAAATTTGAAGGAATTTAATAACAACATCAACTTTTTGACCCACGTGTGCTAGGCTTTTCTTGAAATCCAATACCTGTTTTTTAATTGTATTTGTTCCATGCTTGAACTGTTCATGGTAAAAAATATGTTATGCTGTTTATTGTCGTTTCGAAAACAACTTTTTTTTTAATTAACTGTCCGATATTTCAAAGGGCCATTCCTCACGTATTCATATAATCTGCCCGCAAGGCAGATTCTAATTATTTTTAAGCATCGAAGGGCATTTTTTGGTGCTAAATATTTCTTAAAAGTTTTACCATTGGCGTGCCAAAGAGATTTAGACTGAATATACAATTTGGCGCAGATTTTATCTCTTGCTTTTTCCATACTACGCGCTGTGGGCTAAATTCATTTGAACCTATAGGTAAAAATATATGCCATTAGCATCTTTGGATGTACTTTAACCAAGTGTTTTGGCATCTACAGACAGACCTTTTGCCTTGGATTTTGCTTCGATAATCAGTCCGCAGAGCCCGATTTTTCTCCTTACATTAAGTGACCTATAAAGCGTGTTTTTCTCCTCCTTAATGATAAGTATTAAGTTTATTTTTTAAACCTATAATATTTTTAATATACGGCGGTAAACATACATTTCGAATCAGTTCATGATGTATATTACACATCATCATCATCAAAATGCCGCGATTCTAGGCACCTGTCGAATTGTCCGACAAGTATTGTCCCTGTAGCATCTACCGAGCAGATTTCTGTGAAAAAAAATTATATCTTTATTATCAACCATATGTAGAATAGAATCAGTGTATTATAGATTTCGTAAAGTAGGTCAAAATTAGGTATGCAATGTAGATCCAGTAAATGAGGCAGAAAACTAAATTAAAAATTATAAAAACAGTTTTGTAGTAGGAAAATTGAAGTTTGGAGTTAAAAATGTTTATATTACTACTGCTTTTTAGCTCTGAGGAAAATTGATTATAGACTCCAACACCGGTGTTCGTAAATAATTTTTTTGCAAATTCTAGTCTATTTTTTTTTAGTGAAACAGTCTTTGTTACGTGTATTATAGTCGTGAAAATCTCGTTTTTTTTTGTAAGTTTTTTTTGTTTCTATACACCCATTAACAAACTTCTAATATGTATGTATACTCTAAAGGTAGTATTTTAAACTCCTTGAAGAGGGACCTGCACGAACTATCAGGCGACACTCCAGCGATAAAGCGGACTTTTTTTTGGAATTTGAAAACAGATATTGCATGGCTGGAATTTTCCAAAAAGGGAATACGATAGAGTAATCTCGAATGGACAAATGCATTTCCCATTCGAAAGGGTTTTTAATTTTTTTATTAGGAAACAATAAGTATGCAGCTTTGAAGAAAGTCATTAGCATTGAGTTTCCCAAGATCGGGTTTCGTCGAGTTCTAGTCCTAAAAATTCAGCGTGCTTTTTCATTTCAACTGCTTTCCGGACCGCGTGGACATTCACAGAAAGGTTTTTTGTTTTGTGGGCATTTGAATAACAGTACACTTGTTTTTTATTATATTATTTTTTATCAAGTTCCATATTTCCTCTTGAAAGAATGGTCTTAATGTACATGCTTTCAAGTAAACTTCCAAATACATCTAGAAATAAATTTTTGTGCGCTTTAGATGACTTATTAAAAACATCAAATTTCTTATCAGTATAACCGGATGCACTGCAGACGTCTGACCAGAGCTCTTTAAATAAATCTAAAATAAAAACACTGATATTGTTTTTGTTAAAATTTCTACCTAGATACGAGACCGCTTCTAATATTGTACCCGAGTTTTAGCCCTGCGTTTAACAATATGTATCTTCTGAAAGTGTATTTGGGAATACTTGCGCTATTATATTATTGCATTAATTTGTAAATATTAAATCAAGAATAGCTGAAGAACCATTCTGGTTTCTTGTTACATCGTTATTTTGAAGATTATAATATTGCATTTAATCAAAAAGTTAGTTTTTTCTGATAAATCCAGAGTGCGGGTGTCGAAGCCTCCGTTTAGAATTATATAACAACTTGGTTTAAAAATTTTATACAATAGGTGTACTAAGTTTCTTAGAAAAAAATCCACATTACCATTTGGTGATCTGGTAATCAAATCGATAGTTTCGTATTCCTCGACATTCCACACAAGTCCGCATACCTCAATATCTTTTTCAATACAAAATGTCGTCAGGTCCATAGAATTACAGCATACACCATTTTTTTCTAACTCTCTTCACCGGGTATGGTCAGTCACAGAGAAGATAACTTCATGATGAATGTTGTGAATATAAATAACTTTAACTTCTGATTTCTTACGCCATGTCCCTGTCAAACTTATGTCAATAATTAATTGGTTAATACAAATACATTGGTTAATACAAAACAACCGCAAAAATATACATAATAGTAATAAAAGTTTAAAATAGTAATAATAGTGTATAAGAGTATTACAAACATTCGCTCTACTGATATTGATAGATGATATTACTGAAAATCTCTGGTTCTGCTTGGGTCTAATGAACGACCAGAAGGCACATAGATCATTTTTTTACTGCATCTATTTGCGATCGTAATCATTCCTTTAATGTATGCACACAATGTCTCAAATTGGATTAAAATTGACTAGTATATTTATACAACCTATGTTTGCGCTGATAAGGCCTGCCTGTTGGCAAATCAGTTTTTCCAAAGTCTGCTGGGTAGGTTTAAAGCACGGTTTGGAGAAGAAAATTTAAACAAACGTAGCAATTTGAGCTGTGTTTGGATATTGATTTTGCACTGAATCGCGAACAATACCAAATAATAAACGGCATTTGACTCTGGAGTTTATTTGACACGAGCGGGGCGGCTGTTTAATAAAAGAGTGACTTAAAAAGTTTACCGAACGTGTACTATACTTTTTCTACGAGCGTTAGTTTTTAGGTACATTTTCGCAAAACAACACGAATACATTCACTGACTTGATCGTCAGAATTGAGAAACGTCAAAATTCCAAGCGTGGGAAATATCTCCGAAAACATCCGATTGCTCCCAAACCCGTGCAGGAAAATCCCGATAATGTCCGAAGTGGCTCAGATCCGGGGGAAACGAAACTGACGTGACGCTTCCTGCACGCTAGATCGGTGTGTACTTAGGTATTTTACAGACGTCAATTGTTGGTAAATCAAACTTGCTGAAGTTTCGCCAATCATCCTGTCGGCTTCTTCAGAGCTCCGCCCCCTCAAACAATATATAGGGTAGAACGCGAGACAGTTTCAATTGAACTCTCAACAGGATGATGAGCGAAAAGTCAAAAAGTCTGATTTATCGACGCAGGAGGAATCCAGAAGACTTGTAAATAGTGTTACAGTTGGATGTTGGAAGTTTCTGTGAAAAATTAATACTAAATGGACAATCGTTTATGCAGTACCAGAAAAGTAGTCTATAAAACGCACGTAGGAAACTTGTATCTAAACAACGCAATAGTTTCAAATTTTAGTTTCAAGCCAAATTAGCAAACTTAAAATTTCTTTTAGAAACGGGAACCTTTAAAAGAGTCCTGTAGAAATCCAATAAAAACTCCCGGAAAAACATTAAGTCTGTGAACTCCACTACGGAAAGCTCTAAGCTCATTTAAAATAATTCCTCATTGATTTTTGGGAAATGCATAAGACAATGGCTCTTAAAATGCGTGTTGAAACGATTAGTGATTCTAGAGGAAAGTGCAGTAGACTTGGGGCCTTTTTACTGGATATTTTTAAGTTGAGATCGTACTGGCTATTATCTGCAAACTAAAATATTTTCATTAGTTTGAAAACTAGTTTGTCCCAGCCAAGTATAATGGGAACAACCTGTATATCATCAGACACCCGATTCGAAAGCTGCGGTGAAACGGAATCTTGGGGATCGCGTGTCCCCTTAAGCCCCCCAGGCCCGTAGGTGTAGCGTAGACGAAACCATATAGTCGTTGGACATTCTACAATTTCTCAAGGGCGGTGGGGGCGGTCACTCGCGATTGATAACGGGCGTGCGGCGGTGCATTTATCTTTGAGCTGTCAGTAATAGGGCAAAAACTATTTCCATTTGTTATATTCCGCGCATACCTACGACGACAATGGACGGAACTAGGTCGAAAAATAAAGTCATTGTTGTTGGTGGCGGACTGGTAAGATCCATTCCTTATTTTTAACGTGCTTTATTCGTTGAGGGCGGTTTCGCGGCACGATCGTTCAAAATTAACGTCGACGAATATTGAATAAAAAACAATCGCAGAGGAAATTTCACTTTTAAATATCTGGGCTTTCGATTATCGTACTAGGTTAACTGAACGAACGATAGAAAAATTGGTGATAGAATTGATTTTTAATTTTTCATAGAGGCATACATGGAGTTCCGTTCATCTGGTGAAGATACCAACAATTTCTCCTATAAGGGAGCCTTAATTATTTAATTTTGGAGGGATTCATTGTGGACGGGTGGATGTGTTGGATATAAGTAAAACGTAAAAAGTGAAACCGCCTATTTTTATAGTTTCATCGGATTTGGCATTAAAAATTAACTTTGTTTAAAGTCGTCTATTCCAAAAATGTATAGTTTCCAAAATAATTGACAATTTAACATTTCCCTGTTGTAATAATGGATTTATTATTTGATTTAATTAAGCTGAAAGATTGTTATTGTTATTGTTATAATTGTTATGTTAAAAGCAACAAAAGTATCGTTTTAACTACAAGTGGATATCAGAGAAAATAGAGAAAGAAAATTTAAAGTATAAGAAGAGGGCTAAGATTTGAAGGTTCCTCTGACACAAACAGGATTATAAATTGTTCCATAACATGTGTAGCTATTACATTTATATTGCAAATGTATAAATAAATAAATAAAATTTTTGTAATCCATTTTTGCTCACCCTGTACACAGCGACATGGTAAATATCAAAAAATCCATCCAAAAGTAATTAGTTGATTATTTTAGGTCCTGCAAACGTCATTTCATTAATTTTGGTTAATTAGTTTGGACGTTCTTTATGAAGAAATCGGAAACAAATATACAGAATATTCAAATCTATCAATTTACCAAATTTCATATTTTAATCGCAAGTCATTTTGAAATGCAGCCATCGACAGAAGTTTCGTTGGCACCCGGGTTATGAAAAATTAAAAATTCTAGATGAAACTCTCCAGCTTTTCTATTTAACTTTTTTCTCTATCATTCGTAGTTTCTGAGCTAAGTAATCAGTATATTAATAATATTTTGATGCGTCGCATCTTTTTATTTTCAAAGATTTTGTGTTGATGATTTAGAGAACGGTAATTAAAGTTTTAAAGTTACTTTTTTAACACCAATAATCCGAGAGAACTTTTTAACTATATAAATATATATACTTACGTACGCTAGAAAATGCAAGAAATAATTGCAATGAAAACAATGTATACATTTTTTGAACGGAGAGTTAACAGGCTTTCATCATTCTATATCGCTTTTTAAAAAACTTCAATTTTTTAATTTTTCAGAGGAACTTCCAGATGCTACTATTATACTATTTACCAAACTTCTGGATTCCTCCTGCCTCGGTTATTGTTGAATCGAACTTGCTGACGTTTTGCCAAAGCTTTTTCAGAGGATAAGTGAAACTGGCAAAGCAACTCCAAACTTGCCACTGTTATCCTTCCTTACATTCAAAACATATCAAAAAATTTTAAGAAATATAATGTCAAAACCAGATTTACCACTTGTCCAAAAATCTTTCAATATCCTTCAAAGACAAAATTCCGTTTGAGATACCAGCAGTTTACAGCATTCGATGGATATGCGACAAAGAATCCATTGGAGAGACTGGACGAAAAATATCAACTAGACTCAAAGAACATAAACGAGCCTTAAGACTAAGACAAATAAATTCATCAGCAGTTGCGGAACATATTCACGAAGCCTGATATAAAATTTTATTCCATAAAATCTATAAGCAACCGAACAATCTTAACCGCGACTCAGGTCTTTGCTTGTCACCAATATGGGACAATGTTCATGCCCCTCCTTTAGCTCCGCCACCCTCAAACACTATATAAGCAGGTACAGAGTAGAGTGCGAACCAATTTCAGTTAAGCTCTGAAGAAGCCAACGGGATGATGGGCGAAAAATCAGTAAGTTCAGTCAGTAGAAATCCAGAAATTTTGTAAATAGTAATCAATTTATTTCCTCTTCCAAACAGTGTCAGTTTATAAATCGACAGCCGGTCGTAAAGCTATTTTTGAAAATATACGAAACATTCGGTAAACTTTGTAGCCGATTCGGGGAGATCCGGATCGATGTGAAATAAAATCATTGCAGGAAAATATATTCATAAAGTAATAATTTACGCTATTTCGCTGCTTCTGTTGTAGGTTGGTGCCCTTTGCGTGTGTTTTATGGCGAAAAGGGGCTACGACGTCTTTATGTACGAAAAAAGGGAAGGTAAGTCGTTTCTTGGGTCGTGCACAGCCACCCGGGGATGTAATTAATCATTAATTAACTGCCACAATGGTACAAAACGCGATTTGAAATGCGCCAATAAATATGAACCCTGTGTTGCGAAATTGCTCGATCCTAAGGAATAATTTTCGTAATTAATACAAGGGGACCCTAGTGAAAAGCCCTCGGATTCGACCCCGTTCGAAAATGCTCAAAAGCTTTGTTCTCAATTCTCCCGAAATCGTCTTCTTGAAACAAAAATCGTAACCGTTGCCAAAGCAAAATGCGTTTGATCGGTTTAGTGGAATTTCGCTTTTAAATGTCACTTCTTGAAGAGGTTTCAATCTTATTATAACAATCTCTAAAGTATTTAATAGTATATTTAATTTTTGATTTTGATTTCTCTTTAACACGGGTTAATAAAGAAGGAAATATCCTAAAATCGCTGAATAGCAATTAAAGAAACGATTTAAAAAATTGAGACAGTTAGCAATTGATCTATCTGTCACTGCGAGTCACAGACTCTATTGTAACTCTCGTCATAGCTCAATCTACGCTCGCCTTTTTGATTAGACAGTTAGCAATTGGCATATCTCTCTCTCCATAGCTTAATCTAGGTTCGTCTTTCAAATTCGGCGGTTAGTAATTGACCTATTTGCCACTACGAGTCAAAAATTCTATTTTAATTCTCTCCATAGCTTAATTTAAATTCGTCATTCTGATTATATAGTTAGCAATTGACTTACTACGAGCTCAAGAATCTATTGTAACTCTTTCCTTAGCTTAATCTTGGTTCGTCTTTCTGATTAGATAGATAGCAATTGACTTATCTGTGACTGCGAGCCCAAGAATCTATCGCAACTTTCCACAGCTTAATCTAGGTTCGTCTTTCGAATCAGGCGGTTAGTAATTGACCTATCTGCGACTAAGAGCCAAAAAATCCATTGTAACGCTTTCCATAGCTCAATCTAGGTTTGTGTTCCTGATTAGATAGTTAGCAATTGGCCTATCTGTCTCTGCGAGAAAAAGGCTCCAGTGTAACTCTCTCCATAGCTTAATCTAGGTTCGTCTTTCAAATTAGGCGGTTAGTAATTGACCTATTTGCCACTACGAGTCAAAAATTCTATTTTAATTCTCTCCATAGCTTAATTTAAGTTCGTCATTCTGATTATATAGTTAGCAATTGACCTACTATGAGCTCAAGCAAAGCAAGTAACTCTCTCCTTAGCTTAATCTAGGTTCGTCTTTCAAATTAGGCGGTTAGTAATTGACCTGTTTGCCACTACGAGTCAAAAAATCGTTTTTAATTCTCTCCATAGCTTAATTTAAATTAGTCATTCTGATTATATAGTTAGCAATTGACCTACTACGAGCTCAAGAATCTATTGTAACTCTCTCCTTAGCTTAATCTAGGTTCGCCTTTCTGATTAGATAGATAGCAATTGACTTATCTGTGACTGCGAGCCCAAGAATCTATTGCAACTTTCCATAGCTTAATCTAGGTTCGTCTTTCAAATCACGCGGTTAGTAAATGACCTATCTGCGACTAAGAGCCAAAAAAATCCATTGTAACGCTTTCCATAGCTCAATCTAGGTTTGTGTTCCTGATTAGATAGTTAGCAATTGGCCTATCTGTCTCTGCGAGAAAAAGGCTCCAGTGTAACTCTCTCCATAGCTTAATCTAGGTTCGTCTTTCAAATTAGGCGGTTAGTAATTGACCTATTTGCCACTACGAGTCAAAAAATCTATTTTAATTCTCTCCATAGCTTAATTTAAATTCGTCATTCTGATTATATAGTTAGCAATTGACCTAATACGAGCTCAAGAATCTATTGTAACTCTCTCCTTAGCTTAATCTAGGTTCGTCTTTCAAATTAGGCGGTTAGTAATTGACCCATCTGCGACTAAGAGCCAAAAAATCCATTGTAACGCTTTCTATAGCTCAATCTAGGTTTGGATTCCTGATTAGATAGTTAACAATTGGCCTATCTGTCTCTGCGAGAAAAAGGCTCCAGTGTAACTCTCTCCATAGCTTAATCTAGGTTCGTCTTTCAAATTAGGCGGTTAGTAATTGACCTATTTGACGAGTCAAAAAATCTATTTTAATTATCTCCATAGCTTAATTTAAATTTGTCATTCTGATTATATAGTTAGCAATTGACCTACTACGAGCTCAAGAATCTATTGTAACTCTCTCCATAGCTTAATCTAGGATCGTCTTCCTGATTAGACTGTAAAGCTTCGATAGTGGCTCCTTGATCTAGTTCGTTGCCTTTGGTTTGGTTTCGCCCATCAGACTACATATGAGTAATTCTTTGGTGACTTTCGTTCACTATTACCTATGTAATCTTGAATGTTTTAATTTCTTTGGTTGAGATTGGAGTCCTGTAATGTTTAAGAATGCAGTACTTCCATGTAGCACAGTCCATAGGTAGCCCTTAGACTTCGTCTGCCTTCACCTCTGTGAAACTTTTCATGTTCCAAAGTGGCCTAGGTGGAACCCATTGGGGTCGAAGGGAGCCTCTTTGGGGGAATTTATATGTAATATCGTAGAAATGTAACCCCAAAATTTTGAAAGGGGCCGACGATAAAAAACTTTGGGAACTGGTGGTCTAGGCGAACGGTCAAGATATGGACATTAATCTAAACTTCTTGATATAGATCGAACGCAAAAGAAAATGTTCTGGTGTTCACTATTCAGTGCGCCTCAAAAATATCGATTCAGAAAGTTGCTATTTATAATAAATAATAGATAAATATATAATTGGTGCACAAAAAGTATGGAAACGTTGGAATATATGGAGAATTTTCAAAATTGATCACATAACAAAATAATGACTTCAAATAATTTTGTTTGAAATGCTAAATGGAAACCCCCATTTCTTATTACAGATTTGGATTCTATGCTACAAAGTGTCAGATTTTGTTCAAACTTTTCTTTTGAATTCTTAGTAGATGGCGCTATAATCGTAGAAAAAATGTGCCATCTAGTGACTTCAAGTGTCGGCCAATTTTATTGTCACTAATGTTTTTTCAATTTTATTTACTCGTTTTCGATCAAAAACGTTGAAATTATAAAAATTAAAAAAAAATTATATTAAAGCAATTTATGAAAATGGAAACAATCAGCTTGATTACAATCCTACTATATAAGATTTTTTTTTAATATTCTATGAAATAACGAACCTTCAGCAGAGTGTTGGTTGATGTTTTTGAAACATCCTGTAAAAGTCAATTCGGTTATCAAATACTATATGAAGTTAGTCATTTTCAGATTTATACTCTTTTTATAGCAGTCGTAGAAAACATATATTTTAACTTGCGAGTAGATAAGCTGTGTTGGTACTGCCACAACGGTCGCCATTTTTGCATGACAAATGCGATAAGAAACTTAAAGGTTCGTATTAATGAAAACTAACAGACCCAATACAAAAATATGCAATCATAAAATATTTGAATGCGTGATTTATCACTGGAAATGACTATTTATCCAGATATAAATTTTGCGCGATTTCAGATATGCGAAAAATCATTGTCGAGCGAGGCAGGTCCATCAATTTGGCACTTTCGCACAGAGGAAGGAGGGCTTTGCGCCACGTTGGCCTGGAAGACGAGATCCTGAGCAACGCAGTTCCCATGCTTGGCCGTTACCTGCACAAACTAAACTGTCGGAACGATTACGTGCCTTACGACCCCGTAGCGAACCAGGTAATTATTAAAGGATGTACAGCTCCTATACCTAAAGCAAAGCGGCTTATGTATCTGATCCATTATAAATCTGTCTTCCTCTTCCGTATCGCGTAAACCGCAGACCGGATTAGAGCTTGCCGTGTGGAAAAATTGAGCGGACAGACCAAGTACAACGGCCCTGGACGGTTTTCCTAGTCCCGTGGTCTTTTGTTTTTAACTTGAGGCGCTTATCCTTCCTCGAAACTATCAATCACAAGCTTTCCTGACGTTGAGTTTACGTTCCTTTCAGTATTTGATTTGGGGCATCAAGTGCAATAAAATTTCATCATTTCAGAAAGCAACAAAACTAATGAAGTTTTATGATTCTTCAAAAATGATACATATATGCCTTATAAAAAAACAAGGCACGCCAGTTTCTACATTATATAAATACAATTTTTATATAATGACAAAACAAGATAGAATATTTAAATATATAAAAAGACATTGACACGAAACGCTTATGTGATGAACAGGAAACAGTAAATAATATTGTTGCTGTATATAGGGTTAAATTAATATTTTCAAATATACGGTGATTCGAAAAGTTATAAAATCGTTAGTAGAGCATTTATTTTATTAGGTTTATGTAAATCTGCAATACGTTTACAATACAATACAATACTATTTATAGAGTTAGAGCTTTTTTAATTCTCTCTTTGGACGATAGCAGTCAGTCTGTACTTAGATCATTAACGTTGTCATAGTCGATTGTTGGTGGGTAACTATTTGCAACTAGACTGCAACTCCTTTCATAATTTTAAGATTTTGTGGTCTGTCTTTCCCTTTAACTGATCGAATCGCTTGATCGGCAGACTACACTTTTTTTATAATTGCTACCACACATTCTTCGTGGAGCAATCAGTTTTTTTGATACCACCTAGAAAGTACCTGAGACTGATATGCAGAAAGTGAATTGTATATTGTTGCTCTGTTTCGACAGTAAATCGAAGATTATCCTGAAAATACACAATATAGCTTAATCTGCTGTCAGAAATACATAAAATACAATCGTCAACGTAACATATATAAAAATAGAGAAATCATCAAAACAAAAAAGCATGCAGTTCGTAGGAACTTATTAAGTTTTGATAAAATCGTCCTGAACAAAATAAGGATTTTAAGCTAGTGTTTTTGTTAGCATATTAGATTTCTTCGTCTTTAGACTTCAGTGTTAGTGGAGTTAAGGTAAATATAGGAACACTTCATGTTGAAGAGAGAACACACTGCATGCTTTAAAACATTAGAGAGCATTTTTGTATGAAATCAAACCTTTTTTTTTTGTTTTTTGTGTGGATTTAAAAATAATTCACCTCCTCATCTTTATTAATTGCGCCTAATAAGGAAACAAGACATGGCCGTTGGAGAACAAATGTTCATTAACGTTCCGTTGGTATTACGAAGGGAAACAATTTTTTCTGCCCTGCACTACCGGGCCTTATGAAGCAGTTCGTAAAGACGTTCGATAAAATTAGAACGTGCTTTGAGGAAAATAGGCCTCATATTCGAGAAGGATGCTTATGTCGTAAACTCAATGAAAATAGAAGCAAAGAAATTAAATGAAAATTCTAGACCGTATTTGTAGGAAAGACCTACCCTTGGTATTGAAGAGATGAACTGTAAGTGTAACATGGTCAATAAACTACGCTATAACAAAATTGATAGATGCTTGATTTTGTCAGTTGAAAGTCAACACGTGAAGGACTGGAAAATTAACCTACATATAAGAGAGAAAAACTTGGCATATTTCAAAGAAACCAAATTATTATCAGATTGACGCAGCTGACAGTCCCAAATAAAGTCTGTGCAAGACAGAAACCAATGAAGAACTAACAAAATTTCAAGTATATTAAAGTGTAGTCAGTAATAAATTTAATTTAATGTATGTAATTTAATATACATAATTTTTCTTCAAAATGGTGTTAGTGCCTCAACATTAAATCAAAGAATGACTTCCATATTTATAATGCTTCCCATCGATTTAAGGGAAACTAAACGTACGACTGCGATAAGACTAAATTGGTCAAACACATTTGAATTCACTTTACTTTTCCCACGCTGCATATTCATTATAACAATTTTTCGTTCAACGTTATCTAAATTTATTCATTGAGTACGTTCGAAAAAGTTTCGGCATCCCATTATCCCGCATTTATCGACTTCCTAAAGCGAAAATTACATTATGTATTATAAAATTATAAAAGGGAGTTCAAAGATATAAAGTAATATAGAAATTGATTAGAACAAGTTGCGGAAATTTAATGCGACTAAAGTATTATTAATAAGTATATATCAGGATGAATTTTAACACGTGCTTGCAATTTTGAAGCGCGACGAAACATTAATGTGTCGATGGTCAAATGCGAAATCAAACTTAAATGCGTTGATGGTTCGATCAATTCCCATTTACGGAGAAACGCCTGATTTGTCTAAACAGCCTTTTCTAATTAATGTAGCCCGGAATCTAATTCGGATTATGTTCCAAATTCCAATTCCAAATCTTAATGAATTTCTTTCGGTATACAAATAAAAGCATGAAGGATTTAGAGTATAAAAGTTAAGGATTAATCCCTTGTAGGAGATTGAGTTTCTAAATATCTATTTAGATTCATTTACTATGGCAACAGTAAATACAGGGTGCTTCAAAAAAATGTATACACACTTTGAACTTCCATAGAAAATTTATTTACCGTTCTACAAAGTTAAATTTCAGGAAAATAGAAAGCTGAAAGTCCAATGTAAATGAAACATAAATAACAAATGTTAATACTGTTCAAATTGGTGACCTGCAGCATCAATACAATTCTGAGTACGAGTCACCACTGATTCTGTACATCGTATCAAAACGTCCAATGAGATTTCTCTACACACTGCTTGAATCTCATTCCAAAGAATGTCTAGGTTACGTGGTTTACGTTTGTACACCTACCTCATCTTTTACTGTGCCCCACAAGAAGAAATCCAGTGGTATAAGGTCTGGAGAGCGTGCTGGAAACTCGATTGGCCCCCTGGGTCCTATCCACCGGCCCGACAAATTTTGATCCAGGTAAGTTCGTACGTCCCTGTGATAGTGCGTCGGAGCACCATCTTGTTGAAAATAAAAATCATCATTACCGTATAATGCAGGAATCAGCAAGCATTGTTAGGTAATTAATACCAGTTACAGTGCCTTCAAATCAAAAAGGTCCAATGAGTCCCCTTGAAGACAAACCGCACCACACATTTACACCAGGCAAATTTACAGCTTTTTCAATTGTAATGTGAGGATTTTCTTCACCCCAGTAAACACAATTGTGCCTATTGACAGTTCCATTAAGTTTGAATTGGGCTTCATCCGACCAAATGGTGCTACCCATAAATCCCGGTTCACGTATCACCATCTCCTGAATCCATTCACAAAATTGCAACCTTCGATCTGGATCGTCGTCATTTAGCTGTTGCACCAGCCTTGGAATGTAAACACGATACTTGCCTCTCTTCAGAATGCGTAGCACGCTGCTAGCACTTACATCACTTTCACGTGCCCCTTGCCTTGAAGATTTGTTAGGAGAGCGTTGAAACAGTTCCAAGACTGCCGTTGATGACTCATCACTTGTAGCTGTTCGAGGCCGACCTGAATGACCTTCATGCACATCACACACTGTTCCATGAACTTCGAATTTGTCTCGTATGCGTGTAATTGTTAATCTTGAAGGTGGTTCTGTATCATACTCCCTTCTCCACTGTCTTTGAACTTCATTTACATTCTCAAACTTCCAGTACCACTTAATAAACTGCTTACGTTCTTCAAAACTCAAACGTACGTTCCCCATGTTGATATTACAAATTCCAACTGATAATATAACATAGAGGGACGATTATGCTGGCACCTAGCGAAGAAATATAACATTAGCCTTGTAGAGCGGGAAAACTACAATAGTTTAAAGTGTGTAGCACCCTGTATATCAAAATTTCTGTCATTAGAAGAGAGTATATTGTATAATTAGTTTAATATAATTTAATTACAATTACAAAAAATGGAAGTTCGTGTGGGTCGAATTTCCTCGTGCCCGTCTGTCTTGTGTTCTTTACAAAATAAAACGAACTTTCTTAAGTTTTCAGCAATTTGATCCCGTAAAGATATCATTTGAAGTCCCTTCTCGTCTTGTTTCTAATTTGATAGGCATTTTACCATATTTTCATTTTCATTAAAGGGCACACCTTATGGATTGTTTCATTTTCAAGTTGTATATTTCTTACCCTGTCCCCGCAGGAAGATTAAATGGAGTTAATGCAGCTGAAAGGGAATTTCTCTTTTCCTTTCAGTTCTTCGTTAGTATGTCACTCGTTCAATGTATATCATAAAATTGTTCCAAGTTGCCAAAAACATATTTTATACTTTTAATAAGATCGTCTCTAAAGTGCAATAGAAGCAACCGTTAATAAAAGCCTTATCTTTCTCTAGACAGTCGTAAGTTCGACAGGAAAACAAAGTTTTAGCAGTCGGGGTAAACACTCCGAACTTTGGTGGTTACGGGGGCGGCTTTCATTTACTTACCGGCGGTTTAAACTTTTACAGCTGAAACGAGTGGGTTTCTTCCACATCCAAGTCGTTTTATTTGGGATACAATTTATACCTTTATATTTTAGCTTTGTAGCAAATTATTTTGTACCAACCATCTCGACTCTCACCCAAGGGGCTTGCTTGAACTCCCACATGCAACCGCAGCACAGACAATATCCAGCAAAGGGTTTTCCTTAAAATTGGGATTGGGCATTTTCGGTGATATTATTTTTAGTATTCGATACCTGAAGAACGTAGCATCAGGTTAAAGCGAAATATCGTTTAGATTAAAACTCTAATATAAAAGAATATAAGATAGACAAAAATAAGTGAAAACTTATGCAAAATTCGCATAGAGCTGAAAATTGTCAGTAACGTTAAATATAACTTTATGCATGAAATGTCAAAAAATCCCTTCGATTCAAATTGTGCAAAA